TTGAAAAATGTTTTCTTTTGACCTCTATAATGCATCAAGAATATTCACTTTTACATCGGAAACCACCCCCAAAGTTTGAAATTGAAGCATTATTTCGACTAGTTATGCTGTACTCTGACACAAAAACAAAAACAAAAAAAACACACATCATTGTAAAATCAATACATTCATCATTTCGTTCAGAATCTAAAAATTGTTTTATATATATCTAAAATCCAAAAAAGTGTAGGTATAGTTTTTCATCACTCAGGAATTGGGTTCAGGAATTGGGTAGATCGCATAGAATTTATTTACAATGTACAGAAATTCCAGAGACCGTATCAGACAAACACGGGAGACCATTTTTTTTTTAAACCTAAATATAGGAGACAATATATTATTATAGATATCTAATATGTGATAATTCCGGCAATCCACATAAAATGGTGTATTCAACATCTCTCTACATCGTCGACACATGTTTATTTTATAACCCATGAACCTATCGTCTATACCAGTGTTGTAGTCAGGTAGGTAGGTATACGATGACGGTTCGACATTAACCGTTAAATGATCTATATAATATGTAACAGAGACGAAACAATGATGTCTATTCCTTGTGTAGTTGTGACAGTTGTGTTTGTTGCTCGTAACTAAAATTAGTCKTATTTAGGTAGGTACACGTTTTATATTTGATTGTAAAATATTTAAAAACCGAGTATAATATATATATGGCACTAAACGATAGTTGAAATATTTCATTATTATAATATACAATTGACTCAGTAAGTACTAACATTTCGAAATCAGCTGAAAAAATAACTGTGTTTAAAACGCCAAAAGAACAACACGACTTTTAACTTAAAGTGTTACATAAATAACCTATTAATTAATTTTTTAAAAAACTAAAAAATTTCTTAATACAAAATAAATATTATCAAAGGTCCACGATTAAAACGGCTAAAGAGTACCTATATCATATAATGGCAAAGGTGTTCTTTATCATCACTCGACATTGGGTTCAAGTTTAAAAGAAAGTTATCGTTAGTAAATGATCACAAATTATTATACATTTATAAACTTAAATTATTGATGTATTATTTATGAAAACTCCTTGGCAACTTCTAATCCATATACCTACCGGCTATCATATATACCTATACACTACAGCRTTTGAAGACGCTCATATAAATAGCCAGTCCAAATAGTTTACGGCCCGTGCGATAGACTTATTTTTAGTGATGTCGTTCAAGTAGTTTTGACATTTAATAATGAAAAAAAGTATATTTCTCTCATTACTCATTTGAATAATGATAGACTAACTTCACAGTAGCTGGTATAAGTATACTTATAATTTTTACTACCTACAAGATTTTCTAAAATAATAATTCTCTAAATACCAGACTACAAGAGTAATTCATTTATATCTATTAAAAAAGTACAACGATGTCTTTTAAAAACGCTAAACATACGTATTATACATAAATAATATTATGTTAATTTTAAATAATAAGATTAATGCATCGGAACCGCCTTGGAATACGTGGGTTAAAAAGTGTTTTTGAAATTATAACAAGTAATTTTTCTAAAGGAATAACAAATTTCGACAAAATAAATAATTCAACTCTGTATAATAGTATGTCTTAAAAATATTTGAAATATAATCCAAGTTTCTTGCAAATAATGATCAAAGGACGTTTTCATAATTGTTTAACCTCGTTACCTCGTAGGGTAATTTTATGTTATAAAAGGAATCAKCAAAATGTTTGTGGCATTGCATATTTTTGTTATAATCAATTTTTTTCTAAACTCTAAAAATATGCATAAGAAAAGAAATAATACAGACTTATTTTAAAATATATATACTATAAAAGTTTCTCTTATACTAATTTAACTATTTAAGCATAAAATAGATGTATGATTGTATAAATTAAATAATTAATCAGTGAAATCGTTAATAACTTTTTATATTGTTAAATAAATCAATTTTTAGATTATTATTGGTCACCTTGATCGTCTTCAATTAAGGTCGTCTCTAAAAAAGTCCAACAGTGTTTTTGTAACCAAATTGTATTCGACCAGAAAATAGTAAATTCATTCGACATCACGTGTACTACTGGAATACAAATAACATTAACATCCAAGCCAACTTTAACACAGCTTTAGGTCCGAAAAAAACACCAATAAAATGGTCAACCTATTTTTAACAAAAATACAGAGAAGTTTTAATTCATATTTTACCATGTATACACCACAAATCCCCTCCTCCCATTAACATCTACGATCACAAGCAAACACACTATATTCAAAAGTCCTGCCTAACAAATAATAAAAGTATTGTTTATTTTTAATAAATAATAACTGTAATATGATTATATAAATATTAATAAAATATTCATGTTTTGTATTTTTACCTTTATAATATATGATAACAAGTTAATTTTT